CTGCAGTGGGATCAGAGAAAGAACATGTTATTGGTATTTGTAAAAGTAATTTATTGTAAACAATATCTTCCAGCTATATACGACTGGAGGTATTTTTCCCTTTTGTTAAATATTGCACAGTGGAGGCGATGGCAGGAAAAATGCTCAAACCTGTGACATTGCAGTTACATGGTGAGAATCCTAAACCTCTGTTTCACAGAGAGGCTCCGTGTGCGTTCTACTAAAACACAACTCAGCTCTAAATACTTACAAGCTGCTCATCATATTATATTTAACTTTCTGTACTCCAGCTGTACTGCTTTCATATTTACAACTAAGACGTACACACCAGGATGTTGTATTTATATGTACGCACGTGCACAGTTTCCGTAACCTGAAGACATCACTGGAAACCTCAGCGGGTATAAAGGTTTCATCTTTAGGGAAGAAGAGGATAAGTCAGGGTGAGAAGAGGAGGCAGGAGATGAGAGGTACAGAGGTGAGAGTGAGGGTGAAGAAAAGGACCGATAATGTGAAGATGAGGCCGAGAGACCAGAATGAAAGGAAGGATTAGAAAACCGCCGATTATGGGTTACAAAGGAGAGGATGACGATGAGAAATTCTGCTTTTCTGTAAGTGATCAGTGTCAACGCTGGAGGAGAGAGGGGAGTATTTGGATGTTAGGGGTGTGTGTGTGTGTGTGTGCGTGTGTGTGTGTGTGTGTGAGATTATGACAACCATAAGCTCAGAGCAGCATGTGGTCGAGTGAAGAGACCCACGGGAGCTTGATGAAGAAACATATCAAACTTTGGGATCTGGTTACAACTGTGTGTGTGTGTGTGTGTGTGTGTGTGTGTGTGTGTGTGTGTGTGTGTGTGTTTTCATACTCTGACTCCTTCAGGAATACACCATTAACCAGTAGAAGAGAAAAATGGGAAATAATCTGAAGTGATGCTTCTCGCCAAAGTTACTGTTTTTCTGGACAGAAAGCTTCAGTGTGGCTGTAAAAGTCTGTGGTTTGATTCGTTGTGGAGACGAAGGGTGCGGCTGCTCGGATTCACTGTGGTTTCAATGCCTTCGAATGTGACAAAGTTTTCATAGTAAAAATAAATATCCTAATGTCCATGCAAAGTGCAGCACACATCGCATCACTTCTGTCCATTCAAGCGCTGCCGTGAGGGTGTTCCAAACTCAGGAAAGCTGATGTTTGCCAAAGTGTTGATGTTTTGAAATGGAGGAGCAGGGCTCGGGCTGTGGAACAGGCTTGTTGCAGCTCGTTTTATTGCTGGTTCTGAGGTCAACACGGCAGCATCTGTTGTTTTTTTTATGTAAAACCACACACACACACACACACACACACATATGGCAGCTTGACAAATTGATATGCATCAACCCTTGATCAAATCTTTTTATCACGTTCGCTTCCCGTGTCGGCACATCCCAGCTTCTACTTCCTCTGCCTGTATGAAGCATCCAGAGTGTGCTACAAGCTTAGAGTTAGAGCATGTTAAAGGATGCAGCGTGTGTAGATTTGACTAAATATTGTTAGAATTCAGACCTTCTGAATGGTCTGAATAGAAGCCCAGTGAGAGTTCTGCTGCTGTAGTTTGAACGGCATTGATTTGTTCTGAAACATCATTACTTAGTGATTAAAGTGTGCACAGCGAGCTGATGGCGTCTCACCTGTCTGGTGTGTTCTGGTTGAATCATTGTGTGCTCCCAAAGTTCAACTAACAAAATACTTCCAAGCTTTTAGTGGGTGGATGTTAAAGGATTAAGAATAATTTAGGAATAATTCACTAATGAAAATTTACATGAAACTAAACTGGGATGAAAGTAACAATCTTTTTTTTTTATTAATTATAATTTGATTAATTAAGTTCATTGTCAGTCTGTCTCATAAAACACATTTCTGTATCTCTCTTGTATATTCTTGTAAATTTTGTTGACTTTTCTTTCTATATTATATTTTCTGTAGTTTTATCTTATTTTACTTTATGTTACCTTCATTTACACCCTAATATTCTGTGTTGTCTTTTTGCTTCGTTTAAACCCTTTGTTGAATATTCATGCTGCTGTAACACCTGAATTTCCCTCTGGGGATAAATAAAGTCAGTCTAACAAGAAATGTTTGACAAAGAAACACACATTTGAGAAACAACAGTTTTGGTCGTAAAATGACTAAAACTATCATTTTGATTTGTTTTTTTTGTTTGTTTTTTGCTGATAAGCTCGGCAGTTATTTGACTAACTCCTGCATCTCTAGTAAAAATATATTGATAGCTTATGAAAAGTTCCATCAAGTTGAAATATAAATGACTCCTGTGCAGTCATCTCCACAAGCTGAGACGTCTGTGAAGATTAAAGCAACATGCTGCCCAGTGGGACGCATTTTAATAAAAATACTTACATATGAATACAAGGAGTTCTGGATGTGAAGCACTGTTTGATCCCATCATAAACTGTGAATCTGAGTTTCCTACAGCCTTTGTTACCTACAAACCTACAGCGAAACGTGCTTCATATTCAAAGGAGGGATTTTGGGTGGACCATCGCTAAACTTCTTCTTCCATGACTTAAATGAAATGAACCGACTTTACAACGGCTATCGCGCTTCACGCTGCGACTTCCTTTTACGTCCTGCAGGCTAAGTAACGTGTGTCGTCATTGTCTTTGGCTTGTGGATGCTTTATACACCCAGTTTTAGGTTGTGATTTATCTTTTGTCCTTTTTTTTTTTTTTGTTCTGGAGTGAAATCTTAAATGGTCTTTAATCCACACAGTTGTCATGTTAGAAGTCCGTAATCATCAGTCTGCAGATGAGCCCATTTAACACAATCTTGGCCCGCTGAGGTTTCGGTGAAGCCGTTTACATCCAACGGCAGCCGTTTATTTATGCAAAAATGAAGTTTTTAAGCCATTTAGTTGATTTTGTTTCTTCTTGTGGAATCAGTGAGATGGAATGAATTGGGGGAATGATTGAAGCCAGGCACGCTGGGGAGCTGAGAGAGACAGACAGACAGAGAGAGAGAGCAGAGGGAGGCGAGGTTCAGGGTGAAACCGCAGTTTTTATATGTTGTCTGGTTTTAATTTAGTAAGAGCCATCATTCACCAGTTCACTGAGGTGGCAAACCAGATGAGTGTGTGTTCTGGGAGTGTGCGTTTCCTTTGTGATTCCTGCTCGTGTACACATCTGTCTTAATCTCAATCTCAAAACCGTGTGACGCTCTGTTATTTATTCTCATTATTACGCCGGTTCTTTTTTTTTTTTAAGCGCTCGGCTGTTCTGAAGGAATCTTTTGGTGAATGTGCTAATTTGGCTTCGTGGCGTGGAGTTGGATGAGCAGATGGACACCAGTCTCATGAGCACCCTTCAGTATACAGCAACGCTCACCGACAGGTTGTCTTCACACGGAACCTGGAAAGTTTGAATGTGGTTACCAACAGCTCTATATTGTTTTTCATGTGAATTCACCTTTTGAACTCTGGGTGTTTCTTTTGCTCCTGGTACGTTTTTACTCACCGTGGGCTCATCTTTCACTGCAATATAAAGACCTGCCTCTGTGTGTTGGTTGGGATATCCTGATACCTTTGGATGAAGTGAGGCCACAGACTGTATGCATGTACCCTCCATGAAGTCACCTATAGACCTCCTGAATTTTGTGGCAGTGCCCGACTACTTTTAACTCCTGGTCCGAAAATGAGCAAAGACGTAGAGCGTAGTGGTGCAAACAAGCAAACATCTCTGGGCCCTGGACTGTCCTGTGATGCAACCACCTGCCACTTAAAGCTGCTTCATTCTGAATAATTTAAAATCTTAACACAATTTTAATGTTTGAGTTACATAAATATTTGCCCCTTCCTTGTATAGTTGTCATAAATGGGGATGCAGTGCTGCCAACTTAATGTCACACCGCTTTATAGAATATCCCGTTTATAATCATAAAATATTGAAGTCCCGAATCAGTTCCTATATAACCGATAGTAAAACAGCCCATTTATTGTCATAGAATAATGACATAATACTGCTTTTTGTCATAACGAAATTCCCCAAAATTGATTCCAGGAGTAACTTTAGTCCTGGCTCACGGGTCGAGCGTCGGTCACGCGTGGCAGATTATCAGCTGGCAATGTGTTTGTTTGTCGATTAGCTGCTCACCTGAGATCTGCTTCGCTGAGTTACTCACACACTGTCTGACATTAATGAGGGCACATCAAAGAGAATCGCATTGCTGCTGCAGAGCATGTCATCACTCAGAACTGCTCAACTAGTTAATCGTGATAAGTTCATCCTCTGTATATCCTCTGATTAAAAGCTATAAAGGCTAAAATATTCCATGAGAGACCCACAGGTGCAATCTCGTTCATTAGAGGAAACACACCTTTACTTTATTAATCGTAAGTAGAAAGTAGGCAGTTTTAATGTTTGACCTTTTTTCATGTTCATACACAACATGCTAAACAAGTCCGATGTAAGCCATGCAGATCCTGCTGGTCCAGTACGGAGGCTAGTTTTCACACCCAAACTCGCCGACATCTTGAAGCCCGTTTATCGGAATATCCTGGATATAGTCAAAATAATAAACGGGCAGCACTGTATTAGTTATAGTGACCAAAAACTATTTTCTTGTTCCAGGCTGTAAACATGTTTATGTCTGCTGTAGAGATGGACATTTTAACACGGAGGTCTAAGGAGATCGACTCCCCTGTGGAGCCTCCAGTGGCCATTTGAGGAACTGTTGTCTACGTTAGCTTCAGTTCTTCAGCCTGGAACATGCTGCCTGACTGAGGATGGCTGTTCAATCTGATTTAAGCCTTTGTGCTAAGCTAAGCTAACCTGAGTGATGTTAATATTTTCATCTTCACTCAAAATGTCCCCACTGTTGTGTTTCCCTTTTTAACGAAGGTAGTAACGTGCACATTTTTAAAAACTAAATTCAGCAGCAGTTGAAGCTGCCTGCTAAACTGTGAAACCCTTAATTTATGCTCATATTTTGTTTTGTTCTGTTTGCTTATGTATAGTGCCTTCAGCCATGCAAAGAACTGTGGGAAACCCGGAGGGTGCTGTCTCCAAAGTCCTGTGAGGTAAGACAGAAAATGCATGGTGTGTGTGTGTGTGTGTGTGTGTGTGTGTGTGTGTGTGCTTGCGTAAGTTGCAGCAGCCTTGGTGGCAGTGTCACTCCTGCACCAGAAACTTGCTTTTGTTGGCACCGTGAAGATGTTTTGACTGTGTCCCATGAAAGAGCGTTCCTGTGTGTTTCTATGCAAGCCTGTGTACATGTGTCACAAAATAACATTTGTACGCTGTTGAATGTATACATGAGAGTGTGCGTGTGTATTTTGCGTGCGTGTGTGTGTGTGTGTGTGTGTGTGTGTGTGTGTGTGTGTGTGTGTGTTGTGTGTGTGTGTGGCCCTAAGAGATTATTTGTAGAGCCAGTTGTGGTGGTTTTCGGACAGATTAGTTTTTCATCACAATAGCTGAAGCATGTTACTGGCTGGATGGCTGACTGGCGAGCTGGTAGGGAACACAGGGTCATTCAGCGCTGTTAGCTAAAGCCCGTGTTTACATATTGCTGATCTGCAGCTATGCGCACAGACACCGAAACACACACACACAAATATACACATAGGTACAAACACACACAACCTTTTACACTGACTCTCATGGGGATTGCCTTCAAACAGTCAACCAAAAGACCTCTGCTGTGTTTTAATGCCCTCGTGTGTGTGTGTGTTCTTTTACAGTGCGTATTATTTCCTCTGTGTCAACTGTAATAATAATAATAATAGCGATACCCCCTGTGCTCTTTGTTTCTCTCTCTCTCTCAGAAGCAGACGGAGTGTGTGACGAGCCGGGAGTTTCTGGCCTCGCTCAGGTCGTCTCGTCAGGGCGACTGCCCTCCGCCTCAGCGAGCCACGGGATTCGCTGCGGCCTGCGTGGAGAGCTGCTCGTCAGACCAGCATTGTCCGTCCCCCAGGAAGTGCTGCGCCAACGGCTGTGGACACACCTGCCAAGCCCCGGCCAATCTGTATAAAGGTGAATTCAGTTCCCTGGTAGCTGTTTGGAGTTTGTGTTGAGCGTGATTTGGGTAATGATGTAGAGAAACCTGTTCCTGATTGTCTCATCAAGTATGCCATAGCACAGCTTCATAGTGATTATGCTGATTATTATATATATATATTTTTAATAGCACTGAACATGTGTTTAGTTGTTTGTTTAGGAGGGATGCTCTTCCAATATTTGACTTGACATCTAGTTCTGAGACAACACTTATAATGCGTTGCTTTAATCAAGTGTCTGACAAATGAATTAGATGTAATTTAATGTAGTAAACGTCTCTGAATGCTGCCTGCTTGAGTTTACCCCGAGTCCCACATGGTTCCAGTGCGGTTAACATCTTTTTCTCAAGTCTGTGTGGAGCGAGACAGCAACATGAAGCGCCTCAGATGCGGTTAGCTCTTGGCTGCCGTAATAATTTAACACAAACAAAATAATGTTTGAGTGACGTTGATATTTTTACTTTAGCAATTAAGGGATTTTTTTCAGTTCCTGTGTTGTTTGAATATGACTGGTGTTCCAGGGATGGACTCATTTCTGTTGAATATGAATCAAGTCTGATTGCTGCCTGATTAATTGAATCCCAATTTTTAATGAATGCTTGATTAATTTTAGAAATCTTAAGGCACTAAGATATAACGGTGTCGTCGACATCCCATCAAATGTTCATCTGCTGTCTTTCCCATCCATTCCTATTCTAGTTATCATAATAGTCAGTTTGCTTATGAATTTACAATCACAAACTATGAATTTGCCCCGAGGGGAGCATACTGTATGACACTCTACTATCCTTACATCTCTGGTCCCATAACTATATTCAGATGTCTTGTAAACAGCATCCCTCTCCTGTTTTATGCCTGCAGGCGTTCCTCTGAAGCCTCGTCGAGACATGAGCTTCGTGGAGGACGCAGAGGGTCACGTGAAGGTGTTGTGGGTGTCAAAGTTCAACGTCAGCGTGGAGCCCATCGTTTACATGCTTCAGTCCCGCTGGAACATCGGCATTCACCCCAGTGAGGACCATGCCTCTCCGTGGACTACTGTCGCCATGGTGAATCACTCGTAGACCATTCTTTAAGCGATCAGAGATTTTGAGATCTGGACGAAACAATTTAGGAAGAACCTAAGCGTCGACTCAGGAGGTGACATGTATAGTGCTGAAATATATGAGTAGTGTCTCTGTCCGTCACTGAGGGTTGGTACAAGTAAAGATAGTGATACCAGGAATCTAATAATCAGAAGAAAAGTCTATTTAGCTGCACAGCTTATCGCTGATTCTGTCTGACTAACAACACTCACAGCAGTGGAGCAACTGAAGCTGTAAAAACGGCTCTCTGTGCCTTTAACAGTGGAGCAACACCACAAAGTTTGTAACATATCTTTACCTCATAACTCTCAATTTGCCTCGAATGATGAAACTTCTCAGCTATGGAGATGGATGTAAGACTCTGTTTCCACCTCATCAGTCTGCTGCCTTGCTGTCTAAACCTCTCCACCCCAGTCAGTCTCCCATTCTGCCAGGGTAAACCCTACGTGTGTGCGTGTGTGTCTGAGCGTATGAGTGAGTGTGTGTGCACTGTACGTCCATGTGTGTGTGTGCCTGTGTGAGGTTAGGTAAATAAGCAGAGCTTAAAAAGGAACCACAGGCAGCCACAGTCGTTCCACCGGCTGACTCTGAATGACTGAACGCTCATTATGGACTTAAATAGATGGCAGCTCGTGTCTGTGTGTGTGTGTGTGTGTGTGTGTGTGTGTGTGTGTGTGTGTGTGACTGTGGATGAGTAGATTTTAAGCAGTGATTACATTTGCACTGTCAGGGAGACAAAACATGTGAATTTTTGGCAATTTTAACCATAATTTGGGCAAATCATTAAATTTCACTATGATCAGATGGAATTCAGTCCGACTGTGTCCATGTGACTTCATCTGACATCCAGCTCCATGTTTCATTGTCTTTTGCCAGTTTATTAATGCAACAGCCACAAATAGAGTGTTGAGTTTTCACTGAAATAATTGTTAGAGAGCCGTTTCTGGAGGACGTAGTGAGTGGTTCTGGTTATGCACTGAGATGGTCTCCCACTGATTTAAATGAGGTGACCAAACCCCCATATTGGACCCATCCATCCATCCATTTTCTATACACCGCTTAATCCTCATTAGGGTCGCGGGGGGGCTGGAGTCTATCCCAGCTGACTCAGGGTGAAGGCAGGTAAAAAAAACACT